ACCCTTCCGACGACGAGGACCGGCCATCATGGGCGCCTGCCTGTCCTCCTCCAAGCAGGAGGCGGACGCGGAGCGGCGGCGGCGGCAGCGGCCGAGGGGCGGCAAGGCGGAGGAGAAGGGCGCGGCGGAGGCGCCCGCGGTGGAGTTCGGCTACGAGCGGGACTTCGAGGGCAGGTACGAGGTCGGCCGCCTGCTCGGCCACGGCCAGTTCGGCTACACCTTCGCCGCAGTCGACCGCCTCTCCGGGGACCGCGTCGCCGTCAAGCGCATCGACAAGGCCAAGGTCCGTTTCTCAGGATTTCCCCCCACCGCATCTGCAGCTCGGTTCGGTTCGGTTCGGTTCCCCGCGGTCTTCGTTCGGTCGGGAGATTGCGACGGAATCAGTCGCCGCCGCCGGTCGTCGGGCGATTCGTTCGGCTAGCTTGATATCACCCGGCTCGTCGATTCAGCGGCGTTGCGCGGATTTAGACTTTAGAAGATACGATTATTACACGGGGTAAATGAAATTGCTCGCCATTCTCCGTATAAGATTGCTGAATGCTGCCGCTGCCGCTGCCGCTGATGGTATGTGGAGGAGGATGGTCTACCCTCCGTGTCGGCGAGGCCCTACACTCTTCCTCTTGTCGATTCATCAATAGGTGCAGCTGTCCACTTTCCTTTTTGGGGGTCCAGTACATGAGTGAAGCCCATCTTCGCGGGTTCCTTCCTGGTTTGGCACTTGAGTAGTTGTTCACCACGCCAATTTTGCTCCTGAAAATGGTACAAGTACCTGTACTTCTACTTCTCCCTGAAATGGTGAAGACGCTTCCTCCTAACTCCTGACTGTTTGCGTAGATGCTTCGTCTTTTCAACCTCAGAGGGAGAATGTTATGGTTGATAGTAGTAGTTTGTACGCTACCTTGTCGGCGCCTCTTGTTTCTGTTAAGAACTTGTGAAGCGCCATTTTTGTGAAATACATTTCACATGGAGCTCCAGTTTTCGCGTAGTGTATATGTCTTCGTTTTCAACCTTGATTTTAGTTTTGATATTATTTTTTGCAGTCTTTACGGATAATTTGGTGTAGGTGTTCATTTAGGATAGCTTATCCTGTTGCTCCTGGTAAGCTCACCAACCATTTCCTGGAGTGGACAATGTCTCTTTGGCTTCTTCCGTGTTATTGGCGGATGACATTTTCTTCATTCCACTAAATTTGACCTGGGAATGCATGTACTAATCAACATGGTGTTGATGTATTCAAAGACTTAGTACCTTGGTTCAAACGACAGTATTGCTTTATTATTTTCTACTCCCTCCGATCCATATTACTTGTCGCTCAAACGGATGTATCTAGCACTGAAATACGTCTAGAAATTTCAATCACCACGGAATCTTAAATGACTTTCATAGTAAATTCGTGTCATAGGTATGCTAGAAATATGGGCCATTCGTTCTGTGGCAGAATGCATAACAATTGAAAGTTGACAGCAGGATATCCTTGTGAAAGTCGTACTGACTATTGATTATTAACCTTCTGTGGAATTATACCTCTTATTCCAAAGGAAACAAAATGTAGCACCTGCACTGCTATGTTGCGATCTATAATAATAACCAATGAAAACATAATACTTCACTGCATGAATGCTAATTGCCCATGGTTCTATAAATCATTATCCTCTATTATAGATAGATTTGGCGTCGAGTCCTGTTCAGCTAATGTTCATCCATGCAGCTAATTGAAGTCTTGGATACGTGCAGTGTACAATTACACATTTACATCTGTCTGCTATGCATCATCTTTGGAGTATGTGATTAACACAAGTATATTTATGGACTTCATGACAGATGACCCGACCTGTTGCTGTGGAAGATGTAAAGAGAGAAGTTAAGATTCTTAAAGCCCTTAAAGGCCATGAGAACATTGTTCACTTCGACAATGCATTCGAGGACGATTCATATGTGTATATTGTGATGGAGTAAGTAGTCTTGTACATTTAGCAGAATTTGCTCTCATTAACATTTAATCATATGATGGTCTGCAGATTTAATGGTGTTATTTTTTTGTTGAAACAAATTACGATTTCTTGTTCCTAGAGTCACAAACATGCACTTGCTGAAATATCGTCCTATATCCTAGTAATTCTGTCCTGTCCTGAGATAGATTAAGTTTCTATTCCTAACTGTGGATAGACCAGTTGTATTGTCTATCTATCTTTTACATTATAATAATATATGAATGTCAGAACGTGTTATAGTGTAATTAAATGTTTAAATTTTGAGTTCATGACTTTTTAGCACTTAGTCATGTATGTTTTGAACTCTTTGCAGTTTCCTTGCATTGTACGACAGATATTTGGTTAGCATATAGCATGATCTATTGGACTATCACACTTAAAAGATATCCAGAGTTCTTTCTTTTAAAAACATAATCATTCCTATGCTCTATTACCAAGTACTAAGTCTTGCTTCTTTGCCCTTTCTTGCAGACTTTGTGAAGGTGGTGAACTATTGGACCGGATTTTGGCAAAGTAAGATCAGATATATTCTGCTTTTCTTGTTCCATATATCGTTTTCTCTTCTAGTATCATTCGGTTGCTAGAGCCACTTCTCATTGGTATTTCCCCTTTGGCAGAAAAAACAGCCGCTATAGTGAGAAAGATGCTGCTGTGGTGGTGCGGCAGATGCTCAAAGTGGCTGCTGAGTGTCATCTGCGTGGGTTAGTCCACCGAGATATGAAGCCTGAGGTAAAAATTGATCGGTTTTGATGTCTTGGCATTTAGTATACAGTTTTGGTGATACTTCACTACTTCTCAGGTCATGTAAGAATGTGCCTATTTTCCTTCCCAGAACTTCCTTTTCAAATCAACCAAGGAGGATTCGCCTCTGAAGGCAACAGATTTTGGTTTGTCAGACTTCATAAAACCAGGTACCTGCTTCAGTGTCTTCTGTATATGTGCATCATTGTTATGTGTATCTTGTTGCATCAAGTCTTAACGGGGCATAGAACTCGGTAATTGCTCTGGCTCATACATCGTTTAAATGCATGATTACAGGGAAGAAGTTCCGTGATATAGTTGGCAGTGCCTATTATGTTGCACCAGAAGTATTAAAACGTCGATCTGGACCTGAGTCCGATGTTTGGAGCATAGGAGTTATAACTTACATTTTGCTCTGTGGGAGGCGCCCTTTTTGGGATAAAACAGAGGATGGTATATTCAAGGAGGTAAATGGATTGCTGTTGTATTGATTATGCTTATGCTTCCATGTAAAGTGTGCTTGGTGACTGCGGTGAGCTTTATCAGTGTTTTCACAGTGAACAGACAAAATGAAGAAGCTGTGTTTTTTGCAACCTTTTCACTATGTAATGTAGCAATGTTACCTTACTAAGGGTTAAACTTAAACATGTGCAGTCTCTACTCTTTATGCAATTTCTGTAGTAGCTGATGCCTGCCAATTTATTTGACACAATGCAGTCTTAAATTGTATAATCCTTCCCCAGACCCCACCTGGCGTGGGAGCTTCTAGCACTGGGTCTGTCCTTTTAATACAGCCTTAAATTGCCTACCATTATTTGGACGTGTTGATGTATAACCGTTAGCCATCTCAGAAATCAATGTATAAAAAAGTGTCCAATTTTATTTAATACTCCCTCTGTAAAGAAATATAAGAGCGTTTAGATGGCTAGTGATCTAAACGCTCTTATATTTCTTTACAGACACAATATAAAGGCACAGTCTATGGTGCCAATCCTCCCAGGCAAACTGTGCATAGCTGCTGGTATAGCTACTGGGAAATTTGATCCTAGGATTATCCATGTTAAATGATGGTATATTGCGTTAGTTTCAGACAGGCACCTAAGCATAGAAATTTATAGTACTATCTCCTGGAATAAATTTTCCTGCCAAATCATGTTATAACTATTTTTAAAACATGTCTATGTATTCTCGGTATTTTACAAAAAGAGAACAATCTGCTGCCTTTCCTACTGGCTTGCTAGAAAAGTCTGACCCCACATGCCATGACAGAACATTTGTAGTTAATTTAGAAAATAACCATAAGTTAAACATTTTCCTCAACCAGTAAAAGGTGTTGGATAATATGGCCGCCCACTTAAATCTACCGTCATTTTTTATTGTTGTGTGTAATGTTTCTGTGCATGTACATCAGCAAAGACAGAATCTTGATAGCATACACGATCTTATGTGTTCTATTAATTTCTTTTAATCAGGTTCTAAGAAACAAGCCTGATTTTCGTAAGAGGCCTTGGCCAAGCATCAGTTCAAGTGCTAAAGATTTTGTTAAAAAAATACTGGTGAAGAACCCAAGGGCGAGATTGACAGCAGCTCAAGCTCTCTGTAAGTTCCAATATAATGTCAATACTTTGCTAGTATACATGATGCTTAGGGTTGTATTTTTTGTCTATTCTTGTTTTCTGCGTGAGAAAACACACACATACATAGTGCCAAAAAAGAATGCACATGAGTAAGTCTGCAATCTGCATGCTAAGTGCTGTGCATACATACAGCCTGAGGACAAGTCTGTCTTTCATCACGAAATTTTTCTGGCATTTTCAAAATATGATGCTAGAACCAGATGTTGCATTCTGATTCCGGGAGTAACATAAAGTCCTCTAAAAAAGAAGCCTTATGAAATTTTAAAAACACATGTGAGTTATTCAGTTTTATTTGGTTTTTTAGTGAGGCCAAACACTGGATATCTGCTGCAATACCATATTTTTTCCAGGCTGTATCATCTTATAGGAGTTTATTTGATTGTAGAAAGACATATAGTGTTAACATGTAGCTTAAACTTTTTAAGCATCAAGTTAGGAAGATGATTGCAGCAAGAATGTTTACTAATTCTGATTGTGATTGTGCTTGACATGATTAGCACATCCATGGGTGAGAGAAGGAGGAGATGCATCTGAGATCCCTGTCGATATATCTGTGTTGTACAACATGCGCCAATTTGTCAAGTACAGCCGTTTTAAGCAATTTGCGCTGCGGGTAAGCATCGCGGTCTCAAAAATATTTTTATGGTATTCTCATTCTGTTCCTTACAAATATTGCTCCATTGCTTGTTCAGGCCTTAGCAAGTACAGTCAATGAGGAAGAGCTAGCGGATCTAAAGGACCAATTCGATGCTATTGATGTTGATAAAAGTGGATCAATTAGCATTGAAGAAATGCGGCATGTAAGATTTAGAGTCGTTTTTATATGAGAACGTTTTGCACTGGTACTGGATGGTGCTGACGATCTTTGTATGTTTCCATAGGCCCTTGCGAAGGATCTTCCTTGGAGATTGAAGGGCCCTCGTGTTCTCGAGATCATTCAAGCGGTAAGCTTTGAGTAACTTCTTTTCAGTCTCCCTTTTATTTCACAGCAAGCAGTTGACATAACTTCAACTGATCTTATATTCTTATTTTATATGATAGATCGACAGCAACACGGATGGCCTTGTCGACTTCAAAGAGTTTGTTGCAGCAACTCTCCACATACATCAGATGGCTGAGCTGGACTCTGAAAGGTGGGGCCTGCGCTGCCAAGCTGCTTTCAGCAAATTCGATCTGGATGGTGATGGATACATCACCCCCGATGAACTTAGAATGGTAAGTTCTGATTCCCATTGTGTCCATGTTGGTTCTTCGATTCACACATCATGTCACATAATCCTTTTTTGCGCTTTTTTGCTCATGAATGGTGAGTTGGCTCGACTTAATCTGGATGAGACGGTCCATATTGTGCTTTGCTTCCAACTATCTGGTTCTTCATATTCAGTGAATGAAGTAATTCCTCGAGTTTGCGCATAGAAATTATGTTTTTTCCACCATAAAAAGAAAGTATGCATCAGGTTTGAAAGGCTCGTTTGTTTGTCCAAGCTGCATGCTTGAGCATTCATATTTGGACCATTACTATTTAGAGCCTAAATATTATTAGGAAACAGTATAACTGAGCGACCTACGAGCCTTCGTAGCGTTTTTCCTTCGTCAGTCCTTGGATCTGTCAAGGAGCGGTGCAGATCTTTTCTTTGTGCCAGCAGTGTTGTCGTTGCAGGCCTGCCATCTCTTGGGCCGCTGCTCCAAGTGTTGACCTCGGAGAGCCGTGGTTAATCAGGCTATAATGGATCATTGGGTTGACACATTGGGAATTGGTGTAGTGCATATCTTTCCCGCGGCAGCCTTTGGTCGATGTAGCGATGCCGTGGCCGCCATTTATCATGAATATATTTTTTCCTTTGAAAACATGATTTTTTTCGAGATAAGAGAACATCATGTAGTATTTGTGTAAAATACTACATGATAAATGGAGTAAAATGGAGGAATTCAGCTCAAATGAGGTAGAACCTGTCAAAATCATCAAACTTAGGGGTAAAACATACAATTAACTCAAATAGTAACATAATAACATGGCAAGCTAAATAATCTGGTGACACGCTGCATTCTATGTATATTCATTCCAATTTTCAGAAATTGTGCTTGCAACTTAATTATATTTCACATAATGGGAGTAACATAGTGTATATATTACATTCTTATACAACTTAAATTCCATCATACAAAAAGGAGGGCGTGGCAATGTGCGATATTATGATATGATCTAGAGTAGTATATTTACTGAGACAGACCAAACAGTATACCAACAACAGCAGCATAGATACCGTAATGTAACCGGTAGTGTTCTCACTTGTGATTTTCCTCCGATGCGCAGCACACGGGCCTGAAGGGATCCATCGAGCCATTGCTGGAGGAGGCCGACATCGACAAAGATGGGCGGATAAGCCTGTCCGAGTTCCGCAAGCTCCTACGAACCGCGAGCATGAGCAACCTGCCGAGCCCGTCCGGAGTTCCGAATCCCCAGGCTCTGTGAGAATCGACTAGGAGCGTCTATAGGGGGAGATGGTGATGAGCACAGTAGTCTGTTTATTTCTTCTTCTTTCGTGCTGTTTTCCGCGTTCCGTGCGATGTGAGGGTTTCTGATTTGTTAGCATCCAGGTTCTGTGTGCAGTCATTGTATGGGTAGACAAGTTTCAAGGTAAATATTTACGGAGTTGCGTGGAAGGCGCAGATTACAGTTAATTTCTTGTACAACCTTTCCCCCCTTTTTTACGGAAAAGTACATTTTTTTCTTGTTTCCTCTTTCCGTGTTGCAACAAACAGGTTTAGAACCCCCAATTATCCCTTGGGACAAGAGGATACAAAGGATATGTTATTCCAATGTCAGAAAGCAAAGGAGGTGTGGAGAATGCTGGGACTGGATCAGTTCATTAAAAGAGCTTGCGAAGTTGATTATGCTGGTGAGGCGGTCCTCGAGTTTTTATTCTCTATACTTGAAAACGAGCTGACTATCTTGTGTTAGAAAAACTGTGGTTTACCCCCTATTCCTCCGTGCTTATCCGTGATGCCGCTCACAATTCGTGTATATGAGGCTAGAGGGTAGGGACTTTTTTTTTTGAACCTGTGAACAGTAGGAGAACCTCCCACTGTTATGTTTGTATTAAAATGGTGATATACAATTTACATGGTGTATATACATGTGTCAACACCCCATTTTGGGTGTGAGAGGGAGCTAGACTACAGAAGAAAGGATGATAGGGATGAGATGTTTATGTTTTTCCTTGACCCTATAGGTTAGGAGAAAGAAATCTTTCTTAAATCTGTCTAGCCAAGAAAGTTTTGTTGGGACAATCCCCCTGAAGTGTTTATTGTCGCGTTCCTTCCACAAGCTCCATGCCGCAAGCAGGAACATCTCCATGAATAGAGGTCGATTCCAGTGCTGTTTGGCCATAGCCACATTCTGAAGGCGTGACATTCCTTGTGGCCAGGAGAGTCCCAGACTTGTCCAACATTCAATGCTGAATTGGCATTCGAAGAATAAATGCTCCAGGGTTTCCTCAGTTTGCAGTCCACAAAGGATACAGTTGTGGTCTTCACCAATGTTGTAATGACGTCGTTTGAGCATATTCCTGGTATTAAGGTGATCAGTCAAAAGCAGCCACCCGAAAACCTTAATCTTCATGGTGGATCTTGACTTCCAAATCCAGCCAAAGGCCTCATGCGCTCGAACATCTCTGAAGTAGAATGTATAGTATCTATGAGCTGTGAATTGATCTGATCCCCATGCATATATCCAAACATCTGCCTCATCAGATAAGGTAATCGTAGCCAGGTCAGATTGCATTTGTCGAACTTCAGCGTGGGCTTGTTCTGAGAGTGGAAGGTGAAACGCCTCTCGCAGTGCCGTGATGGACAAGAAATCTTTGACCGACACGTCTTCATTTATGGCGTAGGAGAATGCGCAGGGATAGTTTTCAGCGATAATATTGTCTGTCCAAGAATCCTTCCAGAAGAGAACATTCTTGCCATTCGCTACCTGGACAGTAGAGATCCCCCTATAAATGGGCATTAGTTTTGCGACATCTCGCCACCAGAAAGATCCACATGTGTCTGAAGCGTGTGGAATTCGGTTAGAGTAATATGTATTCCAGATTAGCTGGACCCAAGGAACATCCCACCTGTTATAGAATTTATGTAAGTATTTGAGTAAGAGGGCGTCTCCTTGAGTTCTGAGGTCAATTACACCTAGGCCACCGCATTCTTTGGGTTGGCAGACCATGTTCCAGGCGGATAGGGAGTTGCATTTGTCACCTTGCTCAGTTTTCTTAGTCCACAAGCACTTTCTTCTAATCTTGTCCAGCAGTTCAATGATCTTGGTTGGCAGTCTGAGTGTGCATAGAGCAAAAATGATCAATGAAGTTATCACAGAGTTTAGCAGGGATAATTTGCCATCGTAGGATATCATGTTTAGAGTGGCAGTTAGTCTTCTTTCCATGGAGCAAACCAGCAGCATGAGCTCGATAATTGTTGGACGTGTAGTTCCAAGTGGGAGGCCCAAATAGGTAAACGATAACTTGCCAATGACACATCCAAAGATATTTGCAATTTCCTGAGTTTTTTCCGGGTCACAATTCATTGTGATAAGAGTGGATTTATGAAAATTTATTTTCAACCCAATGGACGTGGCATAGTCATTTAAGATGTCCTTGATGGTAGTAGCTTGTTGGGTGCATGCGGGCATGAGCAAGATGGTGTCGTCTGCGTATTGAATTACTGGGTAATCCTTCTGGTGTGGGGATGGGAACGGCAGGTGGATCAAGTGGCGCACAAAAGCATCATTTATGGCCGCTTGCAAGAGGTCAGCCGCAAGAACAAAGATTAGTGGGGAGAGAGGGTCCCCCTGCCTCACGCCACATTTGCAGTAGAATTGCCGACCAGGAGTGCCATTAAAAAGAACCGAAGATTTGCCCGAGGAGAAGATGCATCGAATCCATCCCAGCCATTTGTCATTGAATCCCATGCTTTTCATAATTTCAATCATTGCCTCATGTTCAATCGTATCAAATGCTTTGGCGAAATCTAACTTGAGAAGCATGATTTCCTTTCTGGAAGATTGGCATTGATATATGTATTCGTAAGCCCATGCAAGACAACCTTGTATGGTCCGGCCTTTAAGAAATCCATATTGATTCTTGTGCACAATTTTGAGGATGACTTTTTAAAGTCTATTAGCCAAGCTTTTTGTAGCAACTTTGAGACAACAGTTCAGAAGCGTTATCGGTCGATAGTCATTGAGAGACTCAGGAGTCCCAACTTTGGGGATGAGGGTGATGAAGCCCTCATTATATTGTCTTTCCAAAGAGTCCACCTCTTATGCAGATATAAGATTTCTAGCCTTTTCCACTAGTTTTCGGGATAGAGTCCAGATCAAATTACCAACCACGATCATATTTGTCTGTTAAAGGATTCTACCCGTTATGTCCGTGGAGCACGCGCTTGTGAGCAACGCCATAATAGAGAAATTCCCCTAATTACGTAGATCAACATTAGTGTTGTAATCTAACTATACGATCTAGCTCCTTCCAATCATCAGTGTACCCGTGTAGTCTTTTCAATATAAATAGTATATTGTATTCCACTGATAATCGACCAACTTCCTTAAGCATATTCTACTTAAGTACTTTCCAACAAGTGATAATTCCATGATAATCATGTAAAGTAATTCCATGCATAAATACATGTATAATTCCACAATGAGGTATTCCGAATATTTAGTAATTCCTAGTAATTTGAATATAGTTGCAGGACACATAATTCAAACATCTCCCACTTGTCCAAAACGATCATTCAAATATTCGTAAACCCATAGTCTTAACAAGCTTACCAAATACCTCATGACTAATAGGCTTAGTCAAGGAGTCAGCAACCAGGTTAATACTACGTTGAAAATCCAAAGAAATATATAATGATACCTTCCCTCAGTATGTTTCCTTGCCGTGACACTTAAGATCACTAGAGACCTTTAGTTTCCGCCTAATTATTCCAGCAGAGCTGTCCTCGGCGCCTCAAGTATTATTTCCTCGAATATAATTCCACCTTTATAGGCACCTTGAGTATTCTGTTTCCTCAAGTGAAATTTCGCATCAATTATTTTCAGTCACATACATCAATAATATGAATAATTCCACGTTGAGTCAAATAGGAGATAACCACGTTGAATAAATTCTCAAAACCACATAAATATCAAATCCTTTCAGTAAATGAAGTTTCATAATTGATGTGACGGCGGCCCGATCTTTCGATAAGAGTGGGGATAATTATCGATTTGGTGGATTTTGACCTTGACGATCCGGCTATACCGTACCCGACGATACGCCTCAACAATCGCTAAACCAATCTCCGATGGTTATTGACCTTGCCGTAGGCACGATCAACCTGAACAACGAGGTTCAAGTTCCTGCAAGCAACCGAAGAAC